TTTAATACATTGATACTGTTAAAGGGGTCCTATTGTGCTCTTTTACAAAGTCTTGATTTTGTTTTGGGGGTGTACTAGAACAGGCTCTCATACTAGGTTGTTCGAGAAACACATTATTTTTCACATATTTTACATTATTACAACACCTCTCTCCCCAGTCTGGCATGAACGGCTCGAATAGTTCCTGTATCAAATGAAGGCCCGCGTTAGCTGGGCCAGTGTGTGTTGTGATTGGTTAGCTGGGCCAGTGTGTGTTGTGATTGGTTAGCTGGGCCAGTGTGTGCTGTGATTGGTTAGCTGGGCCAGTGTGTGTTGTGATTGGTTAGCTGAGCCAGTGTGTGTTCTGATTGGTTAGCTGAGCCAGTGTGTGTTGTGATTGGCTCCACTCGGCGCCTGGTCAGGAAATGTCATGCCCCTTACCATAACCACCTGCGAGCTTCAGTGTAAATATTGCGTCAGTATCAAATAAAATTGAGCGTGATTTAAACCCGGATGATTGTAAGCACTCTAAGTTCGTCTGCCTTGGGAAAGCTAGCGTGTCTTCTACATAGTGATAACACTCGTTGCCTTCTGTAGTGCAGCTCAACCAGGTCTCGTCCCATTCGTCGATATTTGTGATATCACAAATCCCGGAAAATATGCGTTGTAGTCCAAACGAGTCGTTCGTTGTAGTTTTTGAAAAGTGATTTCTGTTAAATAAAATATCTCCTTTTGAAGTGGACTTTGAACTTTGTAACTTTGCAGATCTTTTTTATGCTCAAACAGCAACATTACTGACTAACTAAAGTTGAAAAAGTGAAAAAGCATAATAGCACCCCTTTAAAGGGAAACCAAGATTATTTTTCTTACATCATTGGCAGATATTTTTTCGAATTTAAGCATAACTCACTTATACTTGACTTAATATGTCAGTGTGCATCTCAAGTAGATGTATCTTGATTGAAGAATGCTTAGATATTTGTACAGGAAAGTAAGACTGAAAAAAAAAAATACTGCGTAAGAAAATCATTTTCTGCAGTGTGGTGACCTCTTCGTATGCTTTTATGATAATTTCATGATATTTAGTAAGGATGCGTAAAATCATCGGTCATCAGCTATAATAAAAATAATTTTTAAAAAGCTATAAAAAGAATATGTTTCTATATTATGGAAGCCTGTTTCCACCACAGGAAAAAAAAAAAAAAAAGCAATTGCGACTTCTTTTCTCACAATTCAGTGTCTTTTTTCATGTAAACTTGTCATAAACAAGTCATAATTATAAGATTAAAAAGTTGCAGTTACCTTTTTGATTTTTTATTCTGTGACAGAAACAAAAAAACCTGAATTGCGAAATGTAAACTCAGAATTGTGAGAAAGAAAGTCAGAATTCTTGTGATTCTTGTGAGAAAAAAAGTCAGAATTGTTAGATAAAAATCTTTTTTTATTCCATGGTGGAAACGGGCTTCCATACTATATCAGTGTATCATTAATATAATATTCTTAATGTTAAAAGGAACAACAAATGTCATAAAAGGATAATTAAACTGTTTGTTAAACTCTACATTTTTCTAATGTAAATTAAACCAATGCATTTTTCAAACCTTTTTTCTTTTCTCCATTTTCTCCTCTTTTCTAGCTTGCTTCCTAATGTTGTTGTCTGATAAGCCTGGCATTGTATATCACAAATACTGTTTGCTCTCTGACAAAGCATTCTGGATGAATGCGTGAATGTAACAGTTAGTGTAATGTAATCTCTGTCTGTCTGCAGGAAGGGAAGCAGCTGGTCTCGGAGAAGCCGGAGACAGAAGCCGTAGTGAAGGAGAAGCTGGCGGCGCTGCAGAAGATGTGGACCAAGCTGGAAACCACGACGCAGACTAAAGCCCAGTGTCTGTTTGACGCCAACAAAGCCGAGCTCTTCACGCAGAGCTGCGCCGATCTGGACAAGTGGCTGGTGGGTCTGGAGGGTCAGATCCAATCGGACGACTACGGCAAAGATCTGACCAGCGTCAGCATCCTGATGAAGAAACAACAGGTTTGAGAGGATCAGAGCTGACGGCTGTGTTTATATTCTGAAGGACGAGACTAACTCTTCTCCTCTGTGTCCAGATGCTGGAGAACCAGGTGGAGGTGCGTCAGAGGGAGGTAGAGGAGCTCCAGTCTCAAGCTCATGTGTTGAGGCAGGAGGGAAAGGACACGGATGAGGTGGATGGACGCCGGAAGGAGGTGGAGCTGAAGTTTAAGGAGCTGCTGGAGCCGTTGCAGAAACGGAAAGACTTCCTCATGGCCTCTCGTGAGATTCATCAGTTTAACCGTGACATGGAGGATGAGATTGTGAGTTTGGGTTTATATGTGCGTGTGAATGTTGAGCTGTTCATGTGTTTAACTTCTTGTTTCTCCTCAGCTCTGGGTTGAGGAGCGGATGCCTCTCGCTACGTCGACAGACCATGGCCACAATTTACAGACTGTTCAGCTGCTTATCAAGAAGAACCAGGTCATGTATTATGGGTTCATTTTTTTTAAAATTACTATTTAAAAAGAAATACAAACTAGAGATATTTTTGATCAGAGATTCATTCAGACTTACCTGGAAAATGACGTAAAAGTGCCGTTTTGGGATATATATTTTTATTTGTACAACATTACTGTTCAAAAGTTTGGGGTCAGTAAGATTTTTTTACTTTTATTCAGCAAGGATGCATTAAATTGATCAAGAGTGACAGTAAAGACATTTAGAATGTTCAGACTAAAACTTACTTTTTTTTCAGTTAGTAAGATTTCTCGTTTTATTTAACTTGATGACCTAAAATAACGAAAACCAAAACTGAAATCAAAATTTAATTAAAAAAAAAACTATATAGACATGGAAAAAACTACTAAAAACAACAACAAAATGACAAAAATTTTAACTAAAATTAGAATGAAAATGGAAAATATACAAATAAAAACTGATTCAAAATGTTAATAAAAACTATAATAGTATCTCAATTATACTAAAATAACACTGATAATGAATAAAAGATTTAGATTTTAGAAATGCTGTTTCTTTTTATTCATCAAAGAATTTATTTTTCCACAAACATATGAGGCAGCACAACTGTTTTCAACATTAATAATAATCAGAAATGTTTGTTGAGCAGCAAATCAGCATATCAGAATGATTTCTGAAGGATCATGTGACACTGAAGACTGGAGTGCTGAAAAACCAGCTTTAATCACAAGAATAAATTACATTTTACAATATATTCAAATACAAAGCGGTTATTTTAATTTGTAATAATATTTCACAATATTAGCAAACAAATGCAGTCTTGGTGAACATAAAAACTTCTTTCAGAAACATTGCAAATCTTACCGACCCCCAACTTTTGCACTGCTTCTTATGTGTTGTCATGAGCTGAATTGTACATTTTATTGAATTAGGTGCACACTTACTCAAATGCACATTTATCCACAGACATTACAGAAAGAGATCCAGGGCCATCAGCCGCGCTGTGACGACATATTCGAGCGCAGCCAGAGCATCCTGAAGGCCGACAGTCCCAATGTAGAGGCCATCCAAGTCCGTCTGTCCGACCTGCAGCAGCTCTGGAGCCTGATCATCCAGGAGACGGAGAAGCGGCACGCCAGACTCGAGGAGGCCCATAAGGCCCAGCAGTACTACTTTGACGCAGCTGAAGCCGAAGCCTGGATGAGCGAGCAGGAGCTCTACATGATGTCTGAAGAGAAGGCCAAGGTCTGGGATGTTCCCATGAATCAAATCTTTTTATTTTATTTCAGGTTTATTTTGACAGGGACAATGAATGCACATCAATAAAACATTAAATGTACAATGTGCCAGAATTAGCCAAAAGGCTATTTTGCATCTGCAGTCCCTGGACTGATGGTAAAATTGTCACCCTAAAAATATAACAGAATTAAACAATGCATAATACATGCATGCTCCAAAATACATATAAAATGTACACTATTCCTAAAAATTATACTATACATAGAACCAACAGATCAATACCAGCTCACTCGTACACACACTATCCAACTGTCAGACAAAATGACAAACAGTGTATCAATAATATCATAATATCAATATACAGGCAAAGATAATGTAAGCATACAGACAAATAACAGTAGCCTTAGTCATTCAATCAGTACTAAACCAAACAACCCCATGTGCATAGCATCAAAATCTCAAACTAGTAGAGCAAAAAAACAAGACGGCAGCAGAATTTATTTTGCTTTCATAATATGTCTTATTTCAGACTAGTTGAAAGAAAACATCCAAAGTAAACATTTAAGTGTTTATTTGAGTAAAGTTTATCTATTTTTGTCTGTAATTTCAAATACAATGCATACCGTTAAAGTTTTTTCCTCCGCTTCAGCAGCACTTACAGTACATACACCAAACTTAAGAGTTTGATTCCTATCTAAATTCTGAAGGTTTTTACTGAAGGGTGTTTTCTAGGGATGCACCGAATGTTCGGCAACCGAAATTATTCGGCCGAAAATAGCAAAAATTAGTGAATAAGCGAAAAGACTGAATAAATTGTACCGAACAATGATATGACGCGCACTCTTTATAATGCAGCACACATGACAGCAGTGTGGAAGCATTTTCAAATTAGGATCTGTAATATTTTCTAATGTTTTAAAAGAAGTCTCTTCTCAGCAACGCTGCTTTTAACTGTACAGTAGAAAATACATGCCTGATTCAAAGAAGGGGGTCTGATGGCCAAAAAATATTATTTTCTCTAGGGATGCACCGAATGTTCGGCAACCGAAATTATTCGGCCGAAAATAGCAAAAATTAGTGAATAAGCGAAAAGACTGAATAAATTGTACCGAACAATGATATGACGCGCACTCTTTATAATGCAGCACACATGACAGCCATATTCATAATGAGACTCATTTATAAATCTGCTGTCAACAAAAAAGCATTGAGGTCTTCCTGCGCGTTTCCGGCCAAATAAAAGTTGAGAAAAAGCAAGAACTCCATGAACATTCATAAATGTTAGTATTGTAATTTTACTGTTGTCCTGTAAAATAAAATAAAAAGTAAGACAATAATAATGATAATAATTACAACAGTTTTGTT